ATTTTGAGTGAGTAGATCCAATTTACTTGTTTGTGGAAGTCTGCTTGTCAGTTTGAGTCTAGTCTCCTGTTGAACATCCTTGGTGAATATTCTAGAAAATAATAAAAAAAAAAAGTGATACCTGATTTAGGAAGGAGGAGTAAAGGGAGAATGCCAACATTATGTATCTAGAACCAGCAGTCGGCTGACAAACATAGACTTTTCTTCTCTGCATTTCAGCTGAATTTATCAAAGCATCTGGGTATCCTGGATTAGAGAAGACATGAGTTATGAATGGTAGTTACATTCTGATGTTCTTCCTTCCTGTCCAGAGCTTGTATATATGGGAAGTGCTGGTTTGGGTATACTTTGATATCAGGAAGGTGAATAAAACTGTATATTTACAGCATGAGTGTGTCCTGTAAAACATTTAAATGTGAATGGAAGAGCAAGTTTTTTTAATGCTATACCTCTATGGTTTTTTAAAATTGTATTTTTTATTGAGGCAACATTCGGTGAAGGCAGTTTCTATTGCCATTTAAACTATTACATTATTCAATTCTTATTTCCTTTCATTTTAACAAAAACTGCTGATGCAATATTCAACTGAATTTTCAAAACTATACTTTTAAGCATTGTTTTTGTTGAGTTGCCAACAAAACCTTTGAAATGACTGGAAAACAAACAAGAAGAACATTTTTGATATGTGTAGGTGTCCCCTTTTGCATTTGAACAAGTGAGACTTTCTTCAGTTGCCTGTTGTTACCAATATCCATCCAAAGATAAGGCCATGTGGGGACTCTTTATCCCAGAGTGCCAGTAACAGCTGCATCTGGGTGAGTGCTGGTTTTCTGGTACAGAACTAGATTATTTTCTGGGTTTCAAACAGCTTGTTCTGTCCATTCTGTGCTGAGATGTCTGCTATTTTCCATTATTACTGAATTCTTATTTTTAAACTTCTGCATGTACTGAACATTGTAAGTGTAGTGTTTTCTTCATCCTTTCTCCCCACATCTCTAGCCTCTGCCGGTAAAGTTTCATCCTGCCAGCCCCTAAAAATATTAACAACCTAGTGGGGAGGGGGACGACCTGTATATCTTTATGTAGGCTCTTTTCACAGTAGGTTGGGGATGGGCTGTCTCTCCAGGCAATTGGTATAAATCTCATTCATTCTTTTTAACAGCTAACTAATATTCTATGGCTTAGAAGTCATATACTAAAGGGCATGTACTTTGTTTATAGTTTGCTTTAATTTAGTCACCCTAAAGGGTGCTGCAATAACCATTTTTTTTTTTTAAGATTTATTTATTTATACAAGAACTAGGGTACAGGCCAGGTGGGTGAGAGGGTGAGAAAATTCACCAGAGACAGAGCGGGGAACAGAACAGGCAGACTGACTGAAATACACTGCTGAGGGGAGCAGCGGGTGAGCCAGGAGAGGTCTGCTGTGCCATGTGGGATTCTCGCCGGCTGGCCGGGATCAAACCGGCACTGCAGAGGATGCGGACAGCTTCACAGTGCGGCGCTCAACCACCTGCGCCATCAGGGAGGCCCTGCAATAACCATTCTTATACCTGTCTTAGAATACTGGCACTTTTTAATAAAATCCAGGGATGGTGTTTGACTGGGTTAAAAGTGTTTGTGTACTGTTAATTTTAATAGATGTTGCCAGAGTCTTTCCAAAGTGGTTGTCCAAGCACTGTTTCAGAATCCCTGCCCCCCAGCCTGTCCAGTAGAAGGTGTCTTCCTTACTCTCATAAGAATGGATTTCAGGTGCAGTGCTGACTGAGATCCTGGTGCTTATTGATGTGCCTTGGGGTTTCAGTGGAGTTGAAAACTAGGATTCTGGTCAAGCTCTATGGGGTGGTTGTGATTTTTTTCTTTAATTTCTTAAATTGTGCATTAAAAGTTTGTGGTAGGAAGGGAATTGGAGACCATTCTGCTGCAGTCTTTTCCTTTCATGGATAAGAGAATTGAGATTCAGAAGTGGAGGGCATTGCACTGACTGATTGCTACTGACTGCGCTTGTGGAGTTAGTTCTGAATCCTGGCTTTGGGCTTTATCTGTTATCCACTGTGGGCCCTGCTGACAGCAAGCATGGACCAAGAAATGTCATCTGTGAGATGAGTTGACAAATAGTTTGCTATTGTCTCCTGTGAGAACAAGCAAGCAAGCTTCCCAGCCTACACTGGACTGTGGGATTGCTATGTAAAATTATGCAAAAATAATAAGATGTTTGTTAAACTTGGTCTTATCAGTGGATCAATTTGTTAATCTTAATCTTTAAGGGGGTTTGGAATTGACTTTTCCAAGCTATTAGAGTTACTATCTACTAAATATGGAACAACTGTCTTGGCTCAAAGTTAAATGACAACAGTGAAGCACAGGAAAGAAGATTCTGCATAAGGGTTGGCTTCCTGATAAGCACCCCCTTTCTCTACCTCCCCTGACATGCTGATATAGAGAGCTAAGGAGTAGGGCTGCCTAGGAAAAATAACTTGTGTTCTTATGTTCCTGGCAATGTAATTTCTAGGTGTAATATGCACAATTGACAAGGGCCTGTGTGGATGTTTTGTAGGGCTGGATAAAATAAACTTTATGAAATAAGCCTGTTTATCTCTCTGAGTCTTTAAACTCAGTTTTAATATTACAGTTTCAGATTCAGCCCATGGTTTGCTGAGGGAGATGTCAAGGGAGATCCCAAATTTTAGATTCCTATTTGGGTTTGCTCTGTCTTCACCAGGAAAATTTTTGGTGCAGTATTAACTTTCCAGATTGCCTCCAATTGATGTCCGCCTGTTCAGGTAGCACAGCCTGTTCTCTTAATGACAATAAAAGTAATTGTGGGGCCTCCCCTGGTGGCGCAGCAGTTGAGCGCTGGGCTGCGAAGCTGCCCGCAGCCTCTGCAGTGCCCGTTCATTCCCCGGCCACCAGCGAGGGTCCCACATGGCGCGACAGACCTTTCCTGCCGTGCACGCTGCTCCCCTCAGCAGTGTATTTCGTCATTCTGCTTGTTCTGTTCCCCGCTCTGGCTCTGGTGAATTCTCTCAACCTCCTGCACATCTGACTGTACCCAGTACTTGTATTAAAAAAAAAAAAATAATAATAATTGTGATGAGGTTCATTTTGTCATGGGTAAGCATCTCCAGCAGATTAAATATATGTGTGTTATAATGTATATAGGGATAGTTAATATATAGTAAATGTGGAGGTGTGCCTTTGTATCACAGACCTGCTCAGAAGCTGTGTTTATTTGCAGGCTTTTCTGTCAGTGACCACAGTTCTTCTAATCTAGTAATCCCAAAGCTGCAGATTAGAACTGCTGGAGAACTTTTAATAAAAATACTCATGGCCCAAATCCTGTACCTGATTTAAGTGAGAACCTCAGTAGCATTTTATCGAGTATACATTCCACAATTTCTTGATCCAGACATCAGTTGATGGGCACTTAGTTTGGATCTGTGGCACTTGGTGATTGTAGACAGTACTGTTATGAAGAAGGAAGTACGTGTCTTTTTGTATTAGGGTTTTCATACTTTTTGGGTAAATATCTAGTAGAGTAGGAGTATTGCTGGTGGAGGGTGAATGAAGCATATGTACATGTGGAAGAATAAAAATGTAACCCAAAGTTATATAGGCGTGTAAATGACAAATTCAATATGAAAATTGTAACATCCATTCTTTTTTTTTTTTTTTTTAAAGATTATTTATTTATACAAGCACTGGGTACAGTCAGAAGCACGGGAGGGTGAGAGAATTCACCAGAGCCAGAACGGGGAGCAGAACAGGCAGACTGACGAAATACACTGCTGAGGGGAGCAGCAGGTGGCAGGAGAGGTCTGCACCCCATGTGGGACCCTTGCCGGCGGGCAGGGATCGAACCGGCGCTGCAGAGGCTGTGGGCAGCTTCGCAGCCCAGCGCTCAATCGCTGCGCCACCAGGGAGGCCCTGTAACGTCCATTCTTTAAAAAAAAAAAAAACGAAACAAAATTTGTAGGAGAGGAGACCAGAGATTAGAATGTTAAAAGCAATTTTAATAGGCCAGTTGCCCTGAGGACTTGTAAGTGGGCCATTTGAGGTGGAGAGGTTCTCTGCTTAATGAAGAAAGAAGATGTAACTATTCTTAGAATTCTGCCACCACGGAGATCATCTTCTGCAGTGATCCTCTCCCCTAGCCGGTTTTTTCTACCTTTCTCCTTCCTATTTTTCTGTAGAAAAGTGGGGCCACATCTTATAAGTCAGCTTGTGAAAGCACAAATTGAATGCTGTAAAAACAATCATTGGGCCCCAAAGGCCTATGTAGATTGTAGACCACACACTGTCTCTTGGTGCATCTAGCATCTTCTGGTGTTGGAACAGATTACTGTGTCTTTGGCTGAGGTTCTGATGACATTTGGGGGTGAAGGCATATGCAAAATGTTTCTTTAATTATTGGAATTGTAGTCAGTGTGGTGAGATTCTCGAACCCTGGGAAACACATGAATTGACTTAGGGAACGCAGGCCCTGCTTCTCGATGCCCAAGTCTGAGGCATATTTTTTTTTAAGATTTATTTATTTATTTATGCATACAAGAATTGGGGTACAGGCCAGAAGTGCGGGGGGGTGAGAGGATTCACCAGAGACAGAGTGGGGAGCAGAACAGGTGGATTGACTGAGATACACTGCTGAGGGGAGCAACGGGCGAGACAGGAGAGGTCTGTTGCACCATGTGGGTAGCTCCCTGGCTGGGCATTGAACTTATGCTACAGTGGCTGTGGACAGCTTCATTGGTTGTGTCTTAACCCCTTGCGCCACCAGGGAGGCCCCTGAGGCAGATTGTAACTGCAAGGAGTGGGGGTGGAATCATGGACACCATTTAAATTTTGAGTTTCTCTTTGCCTGTGTTTTTTAGGCACAGATAGTTGAATTCAGGTCAGTTGAATACTAAATGCACCTGTGGGTGTGATGCTGCTGAATATTCAGAAATCAAGTGTTTCTTTGGATGTGTAGATTTCATGGTACTCTGTCTTTCTGTCCCCAGCCTTCCCGTGGTTTGGCATGGATATCGGTGGAACGTTGGTTAAACTGGTTTACTTTGAACCAAAGGACATTACAGCTGAAGAGGAGCAAGAGGAGGTGGAAAACCTGAAGAGCATTAGGAAGTATTTGACTTCTAATACTGCTTATGGGAAAACTGGGATTCGAGATGTCCACCTGGAACTGAAAAACTTGACCATGTGTGGGCGCAAAGGGAACCTGCACTTCATCCGCTTCCCCAGCTGTGCTATGCACAGGTTCATTCAGATGGGCAGTGAGAAGAACTTCTCCAGCCTGCACACCACTCTCTGCGCCACGGGAGGTGGGGCTTTCAAGTTTGAAGAGGACTTCAGAATGGTATGTTGGGTTGTCCTTATTAAAACAGCAAAACCACCTCTTAGAGAAAGAAAGCAAGCCTCCCACATACCCATATTCATGGCATCTCCTACTGATGGAAGAAGTAGACTACTAGCCTTGGAACTTTGGACAAGTTTACTTTGCCTTTCTGCGCCTCAGTTTCCTCATCTATTTGAGAATAAAAATAGTTCCTGCCTCATAGAGTTGTTACATGAAGGAGTAAATGCTCAATATATATTAGCTGTCATCATCATCATTTTTTTTTTTTTTAAAGATTTATTTATTTATACAAGCACTGGGTACAGTCAGAAGCACGGGAGGGTGAGAGAATTCACCAGAGCCAGAGCGGGGAGCAGAGCAGGCAGAAGGACCGAAGTACACTGCTGAGGGGAGCAGCGGGCGGCAGGAGAGGTCTGCGTGCCATGGGGGACCCTCCTCCGGTGGCCAGGGAGCAGCCGGGGATCGAACCGGCGTCGCAGAGGCCGCGGGCAGCTTCGCAACCCAGCGCTCAACCGCTGCGCCACCGGGGAGGCCCATCATCATCATTTTTGTGACAATTACTGCTGTGCAATATGCTAAAAATATGCTTCTAAAGTATTTGTTAGTTTTTTACAGACTCTCAAGTTGTCATGAAAAGCATAATCATTATGCCAGTTTTATAGATAGACTGAGGCCAACAGGAAAGGCTTTCTGTAAGTCCTGTTAAAAATTCTTTCTGGAGTCTGCCCATTTGCTCTATATCTGTTTTATGAATGTCATTTCAAAATTCTGCTCACAAAAATAATCTTTGATGTTATTTATAGAGGAATTCCTTTATTAATGACTGCAATTAGGGAGTATGGGCTACCATGGTAAGAATAATGCTGCATGCTGACAGGCAACACATACCAGCTCTGTGTTAGTTGCTTAGATGGAAGGCATGGATGAGTACCATGGAGTACAAGCTTTCTCCTTATTTAGTAATCCTTTAACAGATAGTCAAGATAATGTCTATACTGTTCAACCTCACCTAAGGGAATAACATAAGAATAAAGTAAAATAATGTGGAGAAAATAAATGGAAGCTATATTAGCAAAAGAAGGGTTGGAAGACTCAGGAAGACAAAGGAAGGGTGGCATTAGTCTTGCCAGAAAGTTGAAACTATAGTGAGGTCAATTGTAAAACACATTTTCTCAAAACCTGGAGTGCAAGTTACTGGCATTTTCATGCAGCTCATGTAATTCAGTCTGGCCACAGAATTTATCATGACTGACTTAATTAATGCATTTTTGGTTATATTTAATATAGCCATAAATGCAGATTTTACTTGTTTCATTGAAGATAACATTGTTGTTCTCACTGGTTGTAGTTAGTAGTTTCAATAAGAGCTGGTGGCAGAGTCCCAGAGCATAATCCTAACTAAGTGAGATTGAGTTTCCATGTTTTGACTGTTTTCTTGTGTGTCTTCTTTCCTATCCAATGGTAGAATTTGATATCTCCACTTACTTAAATGATTTATGGGATATTTTTTCCCACCAGAGGGATCCAGTGATCAGAAAGACTTTTGAAATGAAGAAGATTAAGATGGAGGGGCCTAAAAATTATATTTGAGTCCATAATTGAAAAAAGCAGTGATCCTGAATTCTATTGCTGTCTCTGCATTTAACCAGCTGGGTTTCTTTGAGTGAACATGTCTTTCCAGTGGGCCTCAGTTTCATTATCTGTAAAATGGTGGCAGTAGGGGTTAGAAGAGGAGGGATTTCTAGGAAGTCGGAGTAGAGGTGGAGAACTTGGGAGTGCAGCATTCTCGTGTGACATGGATGAGGAAATTAAAACTAAAGAGAGATTAAGAGGCTCTGGTTGTGCACCTAGGTAAGAGCCAGGGTGTCAGCAGTTCAGTTCTGATTCAGAGGGAAATGCTGTCCTTCTCCTAGGGCAGTGAGGTCCCTACATCCCTCTAGGACACCCTGTCTGTTCCTCCCTGCTAGGGAACCTGAGTGACCCAGGGTGACCTGGAATATTTGTGCAACCCCATCAGTGCTTCTGTGCCTCCTCTGAGGTAATGTATGTTACTCAATATATGTTGGCCTTACGCAAGTGTATTTCTCAAAGTTCTGAATCAAGAAAGGTCAGATCTTACTACAACCAAGATAGTGCGGTCTCTGCTCCCTGGAGCAGGTTGTTGGAGCCTTGTGAATACATCAGAGCAGGGAGCAAGTCTGGATTATTTGCTGATAGCTTGGCCAGGTGGAGGCACATAAAAGAAAATATATGGGCTGCCTTCTTTTTCTATGCTTAGTTTGGGCCAAATCAAAGCCAGAAGATCTCTTTCTGTAGCCTTTTTGTCAGTGTGCTAAACGATGTGTCCTTATCCTTCCCAAGGTTGTGAGGATGAATAGATTTTAGTATCTTCTTTTCCAGCCACTCATTTACTTACTCAACAGGTAAATCTTGCTCCTTCTATGCACCAAATACTGTCAAGAACAAAACTAAACCCTGTTCCTTCAGAGCTTACATTTTAGTGTGAAAAGTCACTAAATAATTAGATAAGCAAGTGAATATAGAATATGCCAAATGGTGACAAGCAGTATGGAGGGGGGACAGCAGCAGGGCAAGGGGGGACGGAGTGCTGGGTCTCTGTGGGATGAGGTGACTTGGAAGTAGGAACCGAAAAAACAAGTCGAGCAAACCATGTTGGTTTCAGGGCAGAGTATTTTAGGCAGTGAGAATAGTAAGTGCTAAGTTTATAGGTATGCTGTATCCAAGTTCTTTCCTGTTCCAGAATAGAAAATTGACAGTGCTTGCTTAGTTGTAAAAGGCTCAATAGCTACTACAGTATATGTTAGGCAATCTGATAATAAAGCATTGGACATAATTATAAAGTCCTATTATTGCATAAAATCATTGTTTTGGTATAATGCAACTTTACATGGTTTTTAAAAACCTGAGTGATTAAGGTTAACCAAAAGATATTCAGCAAACCTTGAAGAGTCAGCAGTTGTTATTTTTGAAGATGTTGTCCTCTCCTATATAGTAAATGTACTTTTCTTTCGATACTGTTAACTTCATCCAATTCAGAATGTACAAGAAAGAGCTGTAAACCGTGAGACAAGCATTGGATTAGACCCCTGTGTAGAACACTTTCAGTTGAATAAGGCTGCATTTCTTCTTTTCCTCCCTTCCTTCCTTCTTTTAACATTTTAGTTTCACTGTCACAAACAAATCTCTGATTGGCAAGAATTAGGCTTCAAAATCCAGGATTCGCCAAAATGAAACACAAAAGAAAAATGTTATTACAAGAGGTCTAAGAAACTGATAAACCAGCGAGAGGTCCCACCATTTAAAACAGTGGTCCCCAAGAGTCAGGGGGTGTCTGCTGACTGTGCTTCAGGACACAGACCATTGTAGGTTGGCTTGGTGTTTACCCCATTGTCTGTATGCCTTGAGTTTTGTTTTGAAGAACCTGCCAGAATATTTTCATCCACAACTATACTTCTTAGCTTCAACAAGAGTATTCTTTAGAATGCAAAGCATTCTAACGACAGAAAAATTTATAGAAAAAAGTCCCCTTTCTGTCCACCTATCTTTATGGTAATAGGTCCTTTTCCCTGTGAGTTTTGTTCCATGCAGGCTAAGAGTAATTAGAAGTTAGAGGTGACTTTTTCAATGACTTAAGAGGAAAAAAAAAATGACCTACATTCTGAACAAACAGGATATAACAATATTCTTCAGTTGACTTGAGGTTTAGGGCTCAGAAAAGGATTTTTAGGTATCTTTATCACATTTTTTTTCAAGGTGTGAGGGCTTAAGAATTAGCCTACTGTCGTCAACAGAACAACCTAAAAGAATTAATATTGGTGGAAAAATCATCAGGAGGAGGTCGGGCGGCTCTGTGCAATCTGTCTTCTGAGTTGGTCATTTGAGAGCATTTGTCAGCCTGTTTCCTGTTATTAATCCAGGGACTGATTTATGATGGTGCAGGAGCACAGAGTTGGTAGACATTGGCATCCTTCACTTCTGACATGACACATTTGACCACTCCCCTTTAATCAGTGGGGGGGAGAAGAAGATGCCAGCTTGGACGTTTTGTTAAATTTCTCACAGATGTTTGAAATCCATCTCTCTCACAGGTCTCTGTTAGCATTCCTTTGTTGAGAGAAAAGAACCCTGCTTTTATATGCAAATTGTTCTTGGTTTAGTAAGATAGCCATTTCTGCCACTCGCTAGAGTATTTATAGAGCCAGTGTCAGCAAAAGCCCCATTGAAAGTGTAAGGTGTTATAAGGATGTATATTTTACTTATTTTGGAAACACAATTTGGTGACTCATTTCTCAACTCCCAGGGAGTGCTGTAAGTCTCTTCCCATAAGGAGTAGGTGTGGAAACTCTTGGGATGGTTTTTACTCGATTAATTTATCTACCTATTTATTTAGTTATTAGAATATCTATCAATTATGTCCTGAGCATGCCTTGTGTTGGGGTCCATATTTTTCTAATATTAACATACAAGGAATCACTAAATTCCCTCTTAAAATTAGAGAGCTGGTTGTCAACTTTACCAGCACAGCCTGGTTAAAAGGTTATGTTCAAATTTGCTGGATCCTCATGTTTGCTGGGTCTGATATTTCAGATCTATCAGCATTTGAGACCCATTATAGAGATTAGCATGGCATTTATATATATGATATATGTATATATGACTATATATATATATATATATATGACTAGTAGAAGACAGATTAAGCTCGAAATGTTTTGACACCTTGTGATAGTTCTAAAAATTTTAATAGTAGCTGCTAGCACTTAAAAATTGGAAGATTTCACATAAAAATCAGGATTTCTGGCTCATGAAAAAAGCAGGATCATTGGTGACACTGAGCCCCATTCCCACTTGGGAACAGTGGGGTGCAGGGAATTTGAAATCTGTGCGGATTGCCTTGTGTGCCAGAGTCCCAGTCATTCAGGTACTTTACATCCAGTCAGTGCTTCAATCCTTTAAGTTTTCCTAGTGACCCCAGAGGCATTTGCATTCTACCCCTGATAAAAAGAAAACAGCCCAGGCAGAGTGTTTCTCAGAAGCTGGATCTTTTAACATTTCTCCTTTAGGCTTTTCACAAGGTTGACTGGTTGTACTAATGAACTGCAAAGTCTGATGGGTGACAGACTTGCAGGTGGCTTTCTGGAAATCCAGTAACAATTTCACAGATTGCTTCCATTTGGGAGCCTGGCCTTTTCCTGGATGGTGTTTTGAGGGGGTCTTTGTAGGTCTAAATGAAAGTGACTAATATCTTTCTTAATTTGGAGATTCATGACCTCAGGCTTGAGAAATACCCACCCCTCAGGGAAATGTATAGGAGAGATGTTTGTTTGCTGTTCCACTTTATTTGCAAATGGATTTGGGGGGAAAAGGTGAGATAAGGATGTTTCCTTTCAAAACAAAGTTGTCCTTGTTTATTTGCCTTGGCAGATTTTTCTGTTTCCTTAGCATAGTCTCAGGGTGTCAGCAGGACAGATCCTGTCTCTTGTTTGTGATGTTGGCTGTCAATATTGCTGATGGGCCTGTGATTAATTTTTAAGCAGGTTTAACCTATGGTCCCAGGAAGGGCTGATGAAATAGCTACTTTTCCATTTGGTATGATCCAGGAGATGAGAACTTTCTTTGTTCCATGTAACAAGTGTTTATTAAGCAATAAGTATGGGCAGGCCTTTGAGCATGATGCTCAGGGACAACTGATGAACCAGGAAGCAAGGATTGTATGACCAGTGGTGTGAGTGTGACGGGAAGGCAGTGGGGCTGCTTGTGAGGCAGTATTCACACTGCCTTGTCTCATTGAAGTCCCTTAGGCCGCCCGATAGTTTTTTATCTACAGGATTACCCTCTTAAAAATGTAATATTACATGCATCTCACCCCAAAGTTTCCTTTGTTAGAAAATAAAATAGTTAACCATATGGGCTACATCTTCCTTATCACCAGTGTCATTTGGAATGGTTGTCTCTGTGAGTCAGAAATACTACTCTCTGACTGGCAGTCTGTTTGAATTCTGCTCTTTAGGTATAGATTTTGTTGAATGGGAAATTCAGATGAGAGACAACAAATTCAAAGTTTTCTTAGAGTTGTAAACTTTTATAATGAAGATGATGTCTTTTTTTTTTTTTTAAAGAATTTTATTTATTTATGCATGGAAGAACTGGGATGTAGGCCAGAGGTTTGGGGGTGAGACAATTCACCAGAGTCAGAGTGGGAAAGCAGAATAGGTGGATCTACTGAAATACCCTGATAAAGGGGAGCAGTGGGTGAGACAGAGAGGTCTGCTGCACATTATGTGGGTTAGCTCCCTGGCTGGGGATCGAAATTAGGCCATAGAGGTGATAGTGCTGAGACTAAACCGCTAGGCCACCAGGAAGGCCTAATATAGAAGCACAGTGCTTGTATAGGTTACTTCCAGATCTCATACGCGTTGCCCATTTTGTCAATGAAGACGAGAGGGCACGGCATACTTGCTGGTTGTGTCTCTTAGGGAAAATTACTTAAGCTTCGTGAGACTTAACCACAGAATTAGAACACTCTTTAAAAGGATTTTTATGAGAATTACATGATCTAGTACAAGTGCTTGACATATAGTACACAACAAATAATAGCCATTATTTTCTTGAAGATTTTTTTAAACATTTAGACCGTGTAAATTTTCTTTCTTCATTGGCTCAGTTTCATGTTGGTGATTGTTAGATATTTTGTCCATGGAAAATGATCATCAACCAGACCTCCTGACCAGAGTAATATCAATCTTTTTTCTGTGTGTGTGTGTGTGGGGGGGGGGGGGGACCCTTGCCAGTGGCCGGGGAACAAACTGGTGCTGCAGAGGCTGTGGGCAGCCTCACAGCCCAGTGCTCAACTGCTGTGCCACCAGGGGAGGCCCAGTAATATCAATCTTGAGGATCATGAGTTAAAGTTTTGAGGATACAAAGTAGCCACTCACTGTTAAGGCTAGTCCGCAGCCAACTCCTCTCCCCTTAATTCCCGGCACCCCCTATACAGAGGAGATTGGCAGTTTTGTCTCATAGGAACAAACTTTGGAACCATCCCAACTATCAATAAAAGAGCAAATGTCTTTTGAGCTCTTTATACATGGCAAGCTCAGTGTAAGCTGTTTACATGTATTATCAGGTAATCCTCACAACAATGCTATGTAGTGGGTATTACCCCAATTTTACAGATGAGGAGACTGAGGCTTGAGGAGTTAAGTTGCCCCATATCCCTCAGTTGAGTGTTGGTGCTGGAATTCAAAGCCAGGTCTGGCAACCTCCAAAGTCCAAGTCTGGAAAAGCGGGAGTTGGGATTTGTGAGGTCAGTGGAGTTTGTCCTCAGCACCAGGCACCCTTGGGTACTCATGTCCTGCCAAGGAAGTGTAGGATGCTGTCTCAGAACATTCTCACTATCTTCACCTGCAAGAGAACCCTGGTGCCCGTGGTAAGCTGTGCTAACCTCCTGTGGCTGCTGTAATGAATTATCGTAAGTTTGGTGGCTTGAAACAACAGAAATTTATTCTTTTTTTTTAATTCTTTTTTTTTTTAAGATTTATTTATCTATTTATACAAGCACTGGGCACAGTCAGAAGCGCGGGAGGGTGAGAGAATTCACCAGAGCAGAGTGGGGAGCAGAGCAGGCAGAAGGACCGAAGTACACTGCTGAGGGGAGCAGCGGGCGGCAGGAGAGGTCTGCGCACCATGTGGGACCCTCCGGGGAGCAGCCGGGGAACGAACTGGTGCTGCAGAGGCTGTGGGCAGCTTCGCAACCCAGTGCTCAACTGCTGTGCCACCGGGGAGGCCCCAGAAATTTATTCTTTCATAGTTCTTGAGGCCAGAAATGTTAGCCAAACTCGAGGTATTGCTGGGAACATGCTTTCTTCAGAGGCTTTTGTGGCTGTTGGCATTTCTTGGCCTGTAGTGTGACACTCCAGTGTCTGCCTTCATCTTTGTGTGGACTTCTCTGTGTTTATCAAATCTTTCTTGTGTATCTCTTATAAGGAAACTGGTTAGCAGATTTAGGGCCTTCCCCTATAAACTAGGGTGTACTCTCCAGGTCAACATCCTTAACTTAGTTACATGTGCAAAGATCCTTTTTTCCAAACTAGGTAGCATTCATAGTCTCTGAAAATTAGAACATGGATATATCTTTCTGGGGCTGCCATTCAGCCCTCTGCACATACTAATGGATGGTTTTCCAGCACCCAGGCAGGCTCTCTGTCCTTTTGCACACACTGTGGGCAGACGCGGTGTCCAGCAAAGACTGCTTTTCCAGTAGAGTGACTGATCATCAATATGATTTTACAGCATGGTCTTTCAAGGGTGTACTTTCTGTACTTTTACTGTTCATGACACATTTTAAGTCCAGCTAAAAGCCTCCGGGGCTTCCCTGGAGGTGGTCACAGCCTCTCTGACCAGGTTTTGTCCTCTTTCAGATTGCTGACCTGCAGCTCCACAAACTGGATGAACTGGACTGTCTGATTCAGGGCCTGCTCTACGTTGACTCGGTCGGCTTCAACGGCAAGCCGGAATGTTACTATTTTGAAAATCCCACAAATCCTGAATTGTGTCAAAAAAAGCCGTACTGCCTTGATAATCCATACCCCATGTTGCTGGTGAACATGGGCTCAGGTGTCAGCATTCTAGCAGTGTACTCCAAGGACAACTATAAAAGAGTTACAGGGACCAGGTAAACATGGTTTCCACTAGGAGAACATTTTGTGCCTCTTCCCTGAAGACCATTTGAGAAAAAGATTATTCATATTGAATACATTTTTAAAAGAAGGAACTTGACTTCCTTAGTCAACCAAGAAGGATCTTTGTTGAACAATATGTTAAAGGAGTAAGAGGGTGATTTGTATAAATACTAATAGAATACAGCCCTTGCCCTGTTGGAAACTGGTCAAGTGGTGGAAGAAGGGCCCCACACTTCAGTTTTTCCAAAAGGCAGTACTAATTTAGTGCCACGTGGATGGCAGGAACAAAAGCACAGTAGAGTCCAGGTGGAAGGATGCTTGGCGTGGTAGAGAAGGCTTCAAAAGAAACCTTCTCTGGAACCTCCTTGGTGTCCACATCAGATGATTTGCTTGAAATCATATGTCATTCTAATAAAGAAATCAGATTGAGTTTACAAAGAATGTTACCTTCAGGTAAATTCTTCAGCTGAAATTTGGAAGAGTTTGCACACCTCCCAGGGAACATTGGAGTGCAAAGGACAGAAAGTCAGCCCTGTGGTCACGGTTGGGAGGAATCCTTGTTTTTTCATACACATACCCCAAGACTGGTAAGGGCAGACAGGCTCAGGTTCCTGAGAGTGGGAATTCAACATAGGGAAAATATCCAGGTCAGAGATCTTTGAGAAATACTAGTGTAAACAAACTTGAATTGGTTTTCCTTACTTTTAAGAGAAGGATTTTTGTATGAAATATTTCTCCAACTTGTTGGGCCCTAGAAGCCATTTTTGGAGGGATGATGTGAGACACTAGTGCCACAGGGAGTGTGCCTTGGGCATGAGGTTGAAACCATTGTTTTGATAGATGAAGATATCACTTGACTTCTCTGGGCTTCAGTATCCTCATTTGTGCCATGAAGGGGTTGTTTCTTAGATAGTTCTTATGGGATCTTCCAGTATTGTAGTTCCCCGCTAGGAGGAGAGCACTGCTTTCCTATGCTGTTTCTGTGATTTGTATTAGGTCTGTTTATTTTTATTTATTTATTTTTTTAAATATTTATTTATTCATACAAGAACTGGGGTACAGGCCAGAGGTGTGGGGGTGAGAGGATTCACCAGAGACAGAGTGGGGAGCAGAACAGGAAGACTGACTGAAATACACTGCTGAGGGGAGCAGTGGGTGAGACAGGAGAGGTCTGCTGTGCCATGTGGGAAGTTCCCTGGCTGGCTGGGAATCGAACTCGTGCTGCAGAGGCTGCAGATAGCTTCACAGTGCTGTACTTAACCTCTTGTGTTACCAGGGAGGCTGGTGGGTCTGTTTAAATCAGTGGTTCACCACTGGGGAAGGGAATATTTTTTGGGCAATGTCTGGGGATACTTTTGGTTGGCACAACATTAGATGGGCATCTACTGACTAAAGCTCAGGGTTGTTGGTAAATATCCACGACATATAGGGTAACCTTTACATTCCCCTAGAAAAAAGTATGTAGTCCCAAATGTCAACAGTACTGCTAGTGAGAAACCCTGGCATTTGTGTGTGTGTGTGTACTCTCTGACTTGAGTCCTGATTGTATTCAGAATATAGCTTTGGTGTGTAAGTTAATTACCCCTAATACATTTTTCTCACCAAGAATACAGAACAAAACCTGCTTGCTCACACAGAATCACAATTGATCCCTGGCTTTATTAGGACTATCTAGAGTGTCAAAGACAAATGAGTATTTCATTTGAGCTGGTTTTACCTTAGAGAATGACCTGATAAAAGTTCAATTTTAAAGAAACAGAAGAACTCCTCCCAGAAGGAGTTCTTGAGAGTTAGTCCCAAGGTAACAGCAAGCTAAACATTTTCTGCAATTGAACACAATTTATTATCTTGTAATTTAACATCCAAGAAGTCTATGAATTTATACCTCAGTTCTAATTTCTCAAACTTGGAGATTCCAGGGATTTGGGTTATCTTCTGGAACAGCTGCTAATGATCATTTGAGGTGTTTGGTTTCTATAACATGTGATAATGTCTGTAAGTTTTAGTTACTGGTAAATTCCCATTAATGACTAGTGCCTCACAGTCATTACCAAATTCTGTCGAAGTTTCTCTGTAAGCTCTCTGCAACTAGTAGCTCTAAAAATGTTGCTGTGAGGAGACTGAACGTTAATAGAGAAGCCTTTCAGGGCATCGCACAGACGGGGGTGGGGGGTGGGGGGAGAGAAAACATCAATTCTGTGCGCCCCAGAGTTGTTCTAGCAAAGATTTCTCTGACTCTAAGTTAGAAAACCACTGTTATAAATTATTATGGTCAGCAGTGAACGTCAGTCATCTTGTGGAACATACTTTGAGAATCACTGGTCTAAGCAAATCACTTAAGCTTTGAGTTTTGCTACTCTTATTGTAAACTGATAGCTGTAACTCTAGGTTTTATTATTGCATTATACTCTGTTTTCCCATTCAGCATTTTTCTAGGAAGCCACATCATTACAGGATATGAGTTTTCTTCCAAACATGATTTTAAACGGGTTTTAGTGTCACGTATCATTTTACTGCATCCTAGATTGGGCAGCCACACTCATCTGTTAACCACAACTTCAGTTTTCTGGAAACCAGAGGGGGGCGAAAACTGTGACTTTATAGTTGACATTGTTAGAATACATAGCCTATTAAAAGAGGAACATAAGGAATTTTGAAACTGGTGAAAGTAGCAGACAGCTCATCTTATTGTTTTGGAATCCGTGGTTTTAAGGATACACACACTCAGTCATTGAAGGTTTCTTCTACTTCTTTCTAAAATACCTCATTACCATGTTGTTGAGTTTTTAAAAAAATGATGATGATATTCAACAGCTATTTCTAGCAATATGTTTTTGTCTCTGATTTGCCTGAGTTTCTTACTATGTATCTGCTGAAGCAAACAGATGTATCTGAGTAAGAGGGAGAGAATCACTCAAGTGATGGTTAACAGGTTGAGCATATTAATAAAGGGCTCTTCTGCAACTGTGCATTCTTTCCTCCTGTTGGCAGTGTGCCGGCTGTGCAGACGCATGCTCGCTTTCCCCATTTACCTCCAATTCTCTGTCTGGAGTCACCTGTCATCGTTCAGCCATACAAAGCACTTACGCTTCTCCACTCATACCAGCATATTCGTTGACAAGTTACCTTCTTTCTAAGTCAGCCCACGTCTTCAGTCGCCTACGTTTGGAGTAGGTTGTCGAATATAATACCTGATATTCAAGGAAAGGTTATTAGTGTGAGTAAAAGATAGAAACTAGAAATGTGAGCAATGACTTTTCAAAAATACACAAAGAGAAAACAAAACAAATCTAGATGGCCCACAGACCAAAATGTGTTTCCATCAAAAACACACTAGACTTGTAGGGTAGACTGAAACTGACAATGTAGACTGACACTCCATGTTAAATGCATAAACTTTAGTGGAATTCCCCAATTTTGACTGTGATTGAGTCACAAAGGCAGTATGTCCCTGGAGCCCTTGATTTCCTCATGGTGCTGTATGTACCTTCAGCTTGGATAACTGTTGCTGCTGGTATCTAGCAATATAATTTTCCATGAGAACCCATAATTTCAATCAAGCATATGTTTTTATAAGACTTGCTGTTACCTAGAGTTTCACTTAGAGGTGATTCAAAGAACTCTGTGCTTGTCTGCAGTCTGGCCCCTTTTTGTTAATGGTTACTGATAGTAAATATAGTTCACCCTAAATTTTCTTCTTTCAAATGTAAGTTAAAAATAACCTAAATTTCAACTTAAATTTTCTTATATAATTAAAAACCAGTACCCCAAAACAGATGGGATTCCTGGGGCTAGTTGCTTTTGGGGCTTCAGACCAAATATATGTGAGCCATTTAGTCTTCTGCGCTTACTTTTCCCCATGGTGCATTGCAGAGGAAAACTTATGTCCCTTTCAGTGCCCATTGCCTGCCCATAGTTTGAGCACTGGAACCATTTTATGACCTTTGTGACTATTTTTGATGATTGTGTGTAAGTAAAATACAATAACCTTTACCAGAGTCTACTGGAAAAAGTTCCAAGCTGAGACCACTCAGTGGAATTGTCCTTTTAGAAACGACCTAACAGGTTAGATGAGATGATCCTTGCTAGGGAACTGAATGAAGTCAGGTGAAAGATACAGCCCTGGGCAAGTTATTCCTGCCAGCGTCATAGGCTAGGCTTGGTGTCAGAGCTTGGCTCTGTGGAGATGAACTCTGCTTCATGAACAGTTTGTTTTTCTAAGTATCTGTATTCAGCTACATTTTTTTTTTTTTTTTAATAGCAGTCATTTCTCTGGGCATTTGCTGCGTTTAGACCACCCAGATAAGAGAGACATGATGTGGCCCCATTATACAGGTGGAAAGGCTAAATGCAGCACTTAGGTTAACAGCTAGTTAAAGGTCTCACAACGGAAATCAGTGAGTCTTTTCTGTGGTTTTGTTCTTAAGTTGAGGGGCACATTTTCCTTGTTTCTTTGTAGTCTCGGCCCTCTTTTTGTCCAATTTTCCCTAAAGCTCTTTTGCACCCTCGCACTTTAATACAAGTGCCCCTTTGTTTTTAATTCCTGTTTTAATTAACCCATATTGGTGGTCTTGATGCAGCTGGGGATTTGGATGGGCATATCTTAAGTAAAATTTAAAAATAAACCTTATTGTTCCTTCAGTCTTGGAGGTGGAACATTCCTAGGCCTATGTTGCCTGCTGACTGGTTGTGAGACCTTTGAAGAAGCTCTGGAAATGGCAGCTAAAGGCGACAGCACCAATGTTGATAAACTGGTGAAGGACATTTACGGAGGAGACTATGAACGATTTGGCCTTCAAGGATCTGCTGTAGCATCAAGGTAGAGACTGAGTAGCGAGGAGCAGTAGGGATTAAACCCTAGGAGCAGTCCACAATACAAGGCGGCCTATCTACCCTGGCCATTCATTTAATCTTTTTTCTTTTTTTTAAGATATCCACCCACCAGCCTGGTGCAAGTATGTATATGTGGTATAGGAGCTCAGATTTGTTCTGCCCACTAGGAAGCACTGAGATACTATAGCTCTTTGATGCTTATACTTGAAATAGGGCAGCTTTGAAAGAAGGTTCTGGAAAACTGCAACAGTTTTCCTGTTCTATTCTTGTCCAGATGTCTAGAGGCATTAAAAGAATTTCCCCCATTAATAGCCATACTACTTTATCCCTATTAAGGAAAGGGCAGCCAACCATTCATGTCGTAATCCTGTCTGCTTGTAAACCGTGGTAGCGAGATGAGATTGTTTGGGTTTGAACAGAGTTATTCATAAAGCTTTCCACAGTACTTTGGTGGAAAGATGGGGCCTGCCCGAGGATGATTTTGAACGCTCTCACTAATATTTCCAACATAGCTTTGGCAACATGATGAGTAAGGAAAAACGAGATTCCATCAGCAAGGAAGACCTTGCCCGAGCCACCCTGGTCACCATCACCAACAACATTGGCTCCATCGCTCGGATGTGTGCATTGAATGAGGTAAGTAAGGCCCTTCACCCAGGGACAGCTGTGTCATCCATAAGCAGCATCTTCGTCACTGCAATAACTGTTGACCCTTACAACACTGCAGGTCCTTGGGAAATCTGCCCTTTGTCATAGTTACAAACCTTGTAGAATGTGAGGGATGTGCAGTAAGGGAGGGGAGGAGTATGCATTTTATTTTTTTTATTATTTTTTAAAGATTTATTTATGCATACAAGAGCTGGGGTACAGGCCAGAGATGCGGGGGGTGAGAGGATCCACCAGAGACAGAGTGGGGAACAGAACAGGCAGACTGAAACATACTGCTGAAGGGAGTAGCGGGCGAGAAAGGAGAGGTCTGCTGCGCCATGTGGGTTTCTCCCTGGCCGACCGGGATCGAACTTGTGCTGCAGAGGCTATGGATTGCTTCATAATGCGGTGCTTAACCCCTTGCGCCACCAGGGAGGCCCTGCATTTTATTTTTAAGGCAGTGATTGACACCAAATCAAATCACCTCCCCCTGTGGAAATACAGTATGATAAAACCCATGTCATTATCTCTGTAACCATCACTGGTACCGCACACCTACTGAAACATGAAGAAAAGCTCTGCTGCCTTATAAACAATTGCAGGTAAAATCTTCCACTTGAAATAGTCGATATTCTCTCTGCTTTCAGCTTCTTTACAGTGTTGCCTTGTGGCATGGAGTTCAAGCAGCATTGTACAGGGCTATCAAAGCACAGAGAGCACACTTCAGCTGAGGCCAGCCAGGGAGCCCCAGGGGCCAGGAGGGGTGGATCTGGTGACAGACAAAGCTTCATTAATCTGTTCTGAAACATTGCAAAATTCCTTTGGCAAAAATGGAGCCCTTTTCTGAAACAAAAGGCATGTGAAGTTGCACAGCTCTCATTGAGTTGCTTTAGGAAGGAAGAAAAAGGGACTGGGGTAAGGAATAGGTTGTAATAGTAGGAGAATTGTTGAAGAATCATAATAGCATTAGTAATAGGGTTTCAAAAATAAAATTTTTAATGGAAATGTGGCATACATACAGAGGAGGGCTCAAATCCTAAGTGTACAACCTGATAAATTTTTATAGATCTACATAGCTCCCACACAGATGAAATAGAAGATTACAGGTGCTGCAGAAATTGCCTCCAGCCCCCTCCTAGTCGACAGGAGGAGTGTCAAACAGGGTCTGAGTAGTCTTTCTAATTGACGATTGCCAGCCCTGCCTTCGAGCCACCCCCTTTCATGGTACTGAATAGAATATGTCACTGCCCTGTCAAGCAGGGTCTTCACTTTTTCTGAGTCCCATGTCAATGGAACTTATTTGCCAGCAAGTGTGATTCCAGAGACTTGCCTTTTCAAAGTCCACTTTGATCATGGGACTCACTGAAACAGGGTTTACTTTTTGACATTAATCTTTAAAAAGAGTTTTTCCAAGCAGCCAAACAAGCCTTCAGACTAATGTGTGTAGTTGGTTGTACGCGTGGACTCTCAAAGGTCACTTGGATGTAATGTCCCTGTCCCATAGAGCAGTAGAAGCCCTTTCCCCTGCTTTGCACAGTTGAGTGAGCCAGTTAGTTTTCCTTACAGATATCTTAATCACTTAATCATGGATTTTGTCACTTTTGATTTCCATTTCTCTATCATTTGTTGTTAAAAGTATTGCAGAAGTGGTCATTTGAAAGTGTCGCCTTGTCACATGCTAGTTTGAGTAATTATTTTAGATGTTTGTGTAGAATTGAATGAATGAGAGGACACGTCCGATGTCCTTGGGTGAGGGCTCTGTTTGCTGGCATCCCTCCTGTGAACACAGACCTCCTGTAGATGCAGGAGCCGGCAGTGGCACATTTCCCCGATGGGAACCAAGAGCCTAGACAAAAGTTCTTCAGTCGTTTACTTTGCTCACTGGGGACACTTTGATTCCTGCTATTTCATAAATCCTGACTCTAAGATATTTTTTGCTGTGATTTTTGGAATGCTATGAAATGTTTCTCCATCATTAAAGTTTGTTTTATTCATGTTTTTGAATGGAATATATAAACACTGAATAGAGTTCTAAAGACACCAGGAGGATCTATAGGAGAGTGGGTCACCAATGTTATCTTCATAGAGAGAGCCATTGTTTTTAGTTTTTATTCTTTATGGTATGCAGTGTGTCCTTCGAAAGACAGCAAACGATAAAACATTTTTTTAAACACCGGGTCTACTGAGATAAAACCACATCATCCAACTTATCCTCTGTATGCTATTCTACTTCTTGCTTTGGCTATTTGCTTAATCATCAGCTTTTTATTATGAACTGTGCTAGACATACACAAATGAGAGAATAGTATAAACAACCTCCAAACATCCATCAGCTCAGACTCAACAGTTACCAAGACTTTGCATATGTGTTTTAGCTATGTTTTCTTTCTCCTCTCTCTGTTCTTCTCTCTTCATTTTCCCACTCTCTCTCTCTCTTTGCTAAAATATTTGAAAACATACTTCAATATTCATTTCTGGAAATTTTGCTTCTTGATTTTTTTTTTGCATGATGATCTATCTTGGGGATTATACCTAGGTATATTTGAATTGCTTGATTTTTTAATAGCCATATAGCACTCTAAAAAATATATATATATATATATATAAAGCATATATACATATATATGTATGTATATATATGAAGTGTATTTATATATGAGGTGGTTTGATCAATTTCCTAATTACTGAGGCTTTTCTAGTCTTATGAAAAATATGTATATATGTGAGTGTGTGTGTGTGTAAGTGTTGCCATATATCATATACACAAACATGGTATGTATATACACATATCAGTTTGCATCCATGTGCATGTGTCTATATAGTAGTAAATTACTCAAAGGGAAATTGCTGAGTCAAAGGATATGTTGGTGATAATTTTGTTAGATATAAAAGCCCCCCCAAGAGCTGGTTCTAATTTATATTAGCAAAGTTTAAGAGTACAAGTTTTTCCACAGAAAGGTCATCAAACTTCCATCTTTTCCAATCTAATAGGTGAGAAATGTTACTTTTGGTTAGTTTTAATTTCTATTTTTCTTATTATAAGTGAGATGGAGCATGTTCATCTATTTAATAGCAACTAGTATTTCCCATTTTGTGTGTGTGAACTATCAATAGTGTTCACTCATTTTGTTATTGGATTGTTGGTCTTTTTTCTACTGGTTTCATAGGTCACATCCATTTTATGTGAAATGTACTGAGGACATATATATATATATATTTTTTTTTTTGTTTATACATGCACTGGGTACAGTCAGAAGCACGGGAGGGTGAGAGAATTCACCAGAGCCAGAGCGGGGAGCAGAGTAGGCAGAAGGACCGAAGTACACTGCTGAGGGGAGCAGCGGGCGGCAGGAGAGGTCTGCGCGCCATGTGGGACCCTCCTCCGGTGGCCGGGGAGCAGCCGGGGATTGAACCGGCGCCGCAGAGGCCGCGGGCAGCTTCGCAACCCAGCGCTCAACCGCTGCGCCACGGGGGAGGCCCAGGATATATTTTTTTATTTATTGTTTTTCATTTGGATTTGTTCATGGTAGTGTTTCATCACTGAATAAATATTTTAGTTTTTTTAAAGTATATATATATATATATATATATATATCAGTCTTTTTTAAAAAAATCAATCGCAGTATTATATCTTTTTTATTTTGACAATTTTTATTTTACTTTATTTTTTTTAAAGATTTATTTATTCATTTATTTATTTATTTTTAAAGATTTATTTATACAAGCACTGGGTACAGTCAGAAGCGCGGGAGGGTGAGAGAATTCACCAGAGCCAGAGCGGGGAGCAGAGCAGGCAGAAGGACCGAAGTACACTGCTGAGGGGAGCAGCGGGTGGCAGGAGAGGTCTGCGCCCCATGTGGGACCCTCCTCCGGTGGCCAGGAGCAGCAGGGGATTGAACCGGCGCTGCAGAGGCTGCTGGCAGTTTCTCAACCCAGCGCTCAACTGCTGCGGCACTGGGGAGGCCCTACTTTATTTTTTTAGTGGTTTTGAGAGGTACTTTATTTTAAAATTTATTATTTCTGTGATTATTGATCTATTTAGCCTTTTATCATATCTTGAATAAGTTTAGTAGTTTGTTATTTTCCATAATCATTTCTTTCATCTAGATGTTTCAACTGATTGGGATAAAAGTTTTACTAAAATCTTCACAATAGATTTGATTATGTTCCATTTTTTGTTACTAGTGTTCTTCATTTAGGCTTATTGGAGATTTGGGTCTTTTCAAAGAAGCAGTTTTTCTTTTATTGATTGATTCTATTTGGTTTTGGTCTTTTATTTATTTATATTAATTTATTTACATATTTTTTGCATCATTTTTCATTTTTGTACAATGTATACATTTTCATCTTGGTTATAGTCCCCATACAATTCCCATACCCCCTTGTTTTGATCCTACTCCCTTCTCCCTCCCCTGTAGTGTGTCTCTGGTTTACAGTTGCTTGTTGATTTTGACTTTTACTTTATTATAATTAGTATTTTTCCTGGGCCCTTATTTAGGTTTTCTAAATTCCTGCCATGAATGAGACCATCCGGTATTTTTCTTCTTCTTTCTGGCTTATTTTGCTGAGCATGATCCCTTCCAGCTCCATCCATGTTGCTGCAAATTACATGAGTTTATCTTTTTTGATACCTGAGTAATATTCTATTTTGTATATGTACCACATCTTCTTGATGCAGTCATCTATTTTGGGGCATTTGGGTTGTTTCCATAGCTTAGCTATTGTAAATAGTGCTTCTATAAACAAGGGGTGCAGGTGGCCTTTTGAATTAATGTTTCTGTGTCCTTTGGGTAAATACCTAGGAGTGGAATTGCTGGATCATATGGAAGCTCCATCTTTAGCAGGTTGAGGAATCTCCACACAGCTCTCCATAGTGGTTGTACCAGTTTGCACTCCCACCAGCAGTGCAGGAGAGTTCCTTTTTCTCCACATCCTCGCCAACATTTGTTGTTGCTAGTTTTTTTAATATGTGTCATTCTCACTGGTAAAAGATGGTATCTCATTGTAGTTTTCATTTGTATTTCCCTGATTACAAGTGATGAACGTTTTTTCATATGCCTGTTGGCCATTTGCCTTTCCTCTTTGGAGAAGTTTCTTTTTAGCTCTTCTGCCCAATTTTTTGACTGGATTATTTACTTTGTTTTTGTTGAGTCTCATCAGCTCTTTGTAGATTTTTGTGATCAGTCCTTTATCATTAGTGTTGTGTGCAAAATTTTTCTCCCAATCCATGGGGTGTCTCTTTGTTTTGGTTACTGCCTCTTTTGCTGTGCAGAAGCTCTTTAATTTGATGTAGTCCCAGCTGTTTATCTTTGCCTTCACTATCACTGCTTTGGGTGATGTTTCTTTAAAGATGTTTTTGAGGTGTATGTCAAGTAGTGTTTTGCCTGTATTTCCTTCTATATATTTTATGGTTTCAGGTTTTATGTCTAGTTCTTTTTTTTTTTTTTTTAAAGATTTATTTTTATTTATACATACAAGCACTGGGTACAGTCAGAAGCGCGGGAGGGTGAGAGAATTCACCAGAGCCAGAGTGGGGAGCAGAGCAGGCAGAAGGACCGAAGTACACTGCTGAGGGGAGCAGCGGGCGGCAGGAGAGGTCTGTGCGCCATGTGGGACCCTCCTCCAGTGGCCAGGGAGCAGCCAGGGATCTAACCGGCGCTGCACAGGCCACGGGCAGCTTCACAACCCAGCGCTCAACCGCTGCGCCACCGGGGAGGCCCTTATGTCTAGTTCTTCAATCCATTTTGAGTTGGTTTTCATGCATGGTGTTAAGCAATAATCAAGCTTCATTCTTTTGCATGTAGGGACCCAGTTTTCCCAGCACCATTTATTGAACAAACTTTCTTTGCTCCATTGCATATTCTTTGCACCTTTGTCAAAGATTAGTTGACCGTAAATCTGTGGGTTTATTTCTAGATTTTCTATTTGGTTGCATTGGTCCCGTGTGTCTGTTCTTGTTCCAGTACCATGCACTTTTGATTATTATGGCTTTGTAATATAGTTTGAAGTCTGGGAGTGATACCTCTATCCCCCCCCCCTTTTTTTTTCCAGGAGAACTTTGGCTATTTGGGTTTTTGGTGGCTCCATATGAATTTCATCAAAAATATGGAACACTTCATGAATTTGCTTGTCATCCTTGCTCAGGGGCCATGCTAATCTTCTCTGTATCGTTCCAATTTTAGTATATGTGCTGCCGAAGTGAGCACTATTTCAACAATATTTTAAAAAGGAATTCTCCCATGTTTTCTTCTAGTCTCATTGTCCCCCACCTACCCCCCTTTTTTTAAGCATTTTTATCTTTGACCCACCTGGATTTATTTGATATAAGAAATGTCCTCCAGTTTTTAATGCCACTTTTATTCTTGAGACTACCAGAGAAATGCTGGACTGGGGCTTTGGGCAAGTCCTACTTTGGACTCCCTTGTTTGGGAGGAAAGGTGAATCACCTACATTTAATTGAATTCCTCTTTAATCTGAGTTTCTACTTTGAGTATGGCTTGCCACCTCTCAGTCTGGGTGGTTTTGTGGCTATAGTTCTTTTTTGTGGGAACTTAATTAAGACTATCTGCCACCTTTCTATCCATGGAGAAATTTCATGTTATTGAGTTCATGAACTTGAGTCCTTAAAACTTGAGGCAGTTAAAAGGTGATATTTCCAGACCCTGACTGCTCTTTTTTTTTTTTTTTTTTTTTAAAGATTTATTTACTAGGGTATAGGTCAGAGGTGTGGAGGGTGAGAGGACTCACTAGAGACAGTGGTGAGCAGAACAGGCAGACTGGAATGAAATACATGGATGAGGGAAGCCATGGGTGAGACAGGAGGGGTCTGCTGTGCCATGTGGGTTAACTCCCTGGCTGGGGTGGGGGGGGCGGGATCTGGGATTGAACTCCTGCCTACTGCCTACTGCTATGCTGCAGTGGCTGCAGATAGCTTCATAGTGCTGCGACTTAACCCCTTGTACCACCAGGGAGGCCCTGACTGCGCTTGATAGAACAAACAGAAAATACAACCAGCTTCCAAACCCTCTGCCGTCTAACAGGAGTGACCATAGCAACTGACTCAGAGGGACCAAGTGGCGAGAAGCCTCTGTACTGACTAAAGACAGGCTGAGCTCTGTGTGAAGTGTGTGTTCACAATGCCAATCTATATCCACGGCAACAAAAATACAAATGTATTTTTCATTTCCATATATAAACTCATATCCTAATGATAGAGACTGGGTATTCTTTTTGTATTCTTAGTGTGTGGCCCAGAGTAAACTGAGCAAACTTGTTAAATGCCTCATACCATGCTCATTCATTTATGAGTTGGTTATAATACTTTACAATTATATTTTTTTACTTTACTTTATTTTTTTACTTTTACTTTACAATTGTATTTTTTTTGGGATTGAAAAAATGCACAAGATTTGGCTGAACTTGAATTCTTATTTCCATTTTACATTTGTGTATTTGGAGTGGAATTTTATGACAGACCCAAGACAACCTAAAATAATACCTGCAAATAAGCCCAATTCAGTCTTTGCCTCACCCAACCCAAATCTCACCCTCTTGTTCTTGGGGCATGCACTGGGAGGTTTGTTCAACTTCATCTTGGAAATACTGAAATAATTCCACTTAAGAAAATGCATCCTGCAAAGTTCTGGGAGTACAGTGATTTGTGGAACCTTAGGTCTTTGCTCAATGCTATTTTTATGCCATGGTTCAATTGTCTGTCTTTATTTTTTTTCCCAGAACATTGACAGAGTTGTATTTGTTGGGAATTTTCTCAGAATCAATATGGTCTCCATGAAGCTGCTAGCATATGCTATGGATTTTTGGTCCAAAGGACAGCTGAAAGCTCTATTTTTGGAACATGAGGTAGGTTAAGCGCACATGGACTTAATTGTACAACTTAAAGTGTATTTTGGGTTGACTAACAGGAGCCAGTCTTTGTTTTTCCAGTTTTAATAATATAATTGTTATGTAACGTTGTATTATTTAAGTCACATAACAAAGTTACATGATGATTTGATTTGATATGTATGTATATATCATGAACTCATTACCATAAGTTTAGTTAACATCGATTGCCTCACATTGTTATAAAAGTTTTTTTTCCTAGTGACAAGAACTCTTAAGATCTATGCATTCAACAACTTTTGAATATATGAATGGTATTGTTAACTGCCTTTTTTGGTCTCTTCATTAATTGGTTTTCATTGACAGTGACCATTTTGAACTCTTCATTGGCTTAGGTCGTCTATCATTACATTCAATTACTACATTAACAATAAAGTTTTCGAAAACAAATGTGAGGGTAAACACAGCTGACTCCTGGCAAGTAAACGACTTAAGCTGATGAGAACAGAAGTGCTTGGGCTACTAAAAGGGTGTAATGACCTTGAGGGAGTGATGTGCTCTGGCATTAGCCAACCTGTCCGCAGAGGACATGAAGACATTGGTTCATTCTTTTTTTTTTTTTTTTTAAGATTTATTTATTTATGCATACAAGAACTGGGGCACAGGCCAGAGGTGCACAGGGGGTAAGAGGATTCGCCAGAGACAAAGTGGGGAGCAGAACAGGCAGATGGACTGGAAACACTGCTGAGGGGAGGAGCAGGCAAGACAGGAGAGGTCTGCTGCACCATGTGGGTAGCACCCTGGCTGGCCAGGAACAGGACTTGAGATTCTACAGAAATACAAATCAGCAGTTTCCTAGAGTGAGTAAGGGGCTTCCTTTCCTGCCCATCTCCCCTACATACCTTCTTTAAAATCAGTATGGTAAGAGCAACTATCCCAGAAAACACTTAATCCTTTGAGTATGTTGCAATAGGAAAAACATTGAGAGAAATAGTATTGATCTTATACATTTCAATCATAATGATTAACTACTGTGGCCCTGTTCTCATCTCCAAGATGAATTATTTATTTGAAGAGTTGCTGGTGCGTCGTAAGTTATTTACAGCTCTCTAAGTCTGTTTTCTTAAATATACAAAGCAGTGGGAACTTAAATACAAAAGGAATAGAAATTAATACTAAAGAAAGCCCAATTTTTAAAAAAGCTGGCTTAAGGCATGGAGTGACGTAACTTTTGGGTGAGGGGAATAGAGTCCCTGAATTTTCATTCTTCTTCCCCAGCCACAGAAGGACCCTTTTTATCTGTTTATTTATTGATGTTCAGCTTAGGGTTTTATTTTAAAAAGATAATTACAATGAAAATTGAAACCACACTGTTCTTATTTAGTTAGAGTTGCCATATTTAGTGATCAAAAAACCAGTGCACTTTTTTTATCTGGCATTTGTCTGTATTTTATCTGGCAACCCTAAGTTTAGATCCCCTTGAACTAATGCAGAAAACAAAGCCTGGAAGCCCTCAAGGACTAAAAGCCATCTACAAACTTACATGGGTAGTTAGTAGTAAGATAGGCAATAGGAGCCAACATTTTAGAGAAACTCTGGGTTAAAAAGCAGTGGCTGTATCAGTCCCTACAACCCCAGACCTCTGTGGTTGGTGCCTTTTGTTACTAAGCATCATCAATCACTCAGTGAAATGTTCCTGACTCCTCATAAGTCTCAAAATTCTGTACATTCTTAAATTCACTCTGACTTACACTGGTTTGCACTGGCTTACTGTGCATCGAATGATGTTGGGAGGTGCTCAAGGCCACTCTCCTGCCCTGAGTGGGCATCTCTTAAGAGAGCTAGTCCAGGGGAGCAGCTGGCAGCACAGCCGCTTACTGACTGGGCATCTTGGGCAGTCTCTGCTTTAGCATCTGCACAATAGGATGTGTCTTGTAAAGTCATTGGGAAGACGAAGTGGGTCAACCCATGTAAAGAGCTTCGAACAATTTCCAACATATAATGAGACCCTGGTGAATGTTAGCAGATGGTAGCAGAGGCACATGGCGTCTGCACACATGGTGTCCTACTTCTGTTGAGTCAGGCAAACACCAAAGAAGTGGAGTCTTCCACTCTTTCAAAGCCAGGTTCTCTATAAATTTGTAAAGAAATTTGTGCCTTTATTTATTTATTTTTTTTTTAATAAAGAAATTTGTGCCTTTATTTATTTATTTTTTTTTTATAAAGAAATTTGTGCCTTTATTTATTTTTTTTTTTATAAAGAAATTTGTGCCTTTATTTTTTTTTATTTTTTTTTTTATAAAGAAATTTGTGCCTTTATTTTTTTTTTTTTATAAAGAAATTTGTGCCTTTATTTATTTTTTTTTTTTATAAAGAAATTTGTGCCTTTATTTTTTTTTTTTATAAAGAAATTTGTGCCTTTATTTTTTTTTTTTTATAAAGAAATTTGTGCCTTTATTTTTTTTTTTTTTTATAAAGAAATTTGTGCCTTTATTTTTTTTTTTTTATAAAGAAATTTGTGCCTTTATTTTTTTTTTTTATAAAGAAATTTGTGCCTTTATTTTTTTTTTTTTTTTATAAAGAAATTTGGGTTCTCTATAAATTTGTATTTTCTAGTAGCTTTCATATTAAGAGAAATAAGGATTTTTCTTTTTACAGTTGAGCACAGTGAAGTTTGGGCTGAGTTAGATGCCTTCCCAAAATCGACTGAGGAAAGCTTGACTTCTTCCCTGTGAGATACAACAACTTTGTAGTCAGACAGCTTTGGGGTGAACCTTGGCACAGATCATGTGACCCTAACCGGTCATTTACTTTCCATTTCTCATCTGTGAAGTGGGTGTAATAACAGGACTTTTGCCATGGCAATATTCAAATATCCAGCACTTGCATAGCATACACTACCTGCTAGACATTTTTCTAAGCACTTTAAGCACTTTATGTCAGTTAACTGAATATAGAAACAAGTGGATGCCCAATACATTTTTTTCTAAATCATTATTACTACAATACCATGTTTCATGGCAAAGATCAGGTTTTAACTTTCTGTTATTAGGGGGCAACATTCCTAGAATAATTGAAAATAGTGGGTTTTTGGCTAAGGTTCAGAGATAATGGGACATTTTCCTTTTGTTCTGGTAGGGTTATTTTGGAGCTGTTGGGGCACTGTTGGAACTATTCAAAATGAGTGATGACCAGTAGGGATGAGGTGTGCAGAAGATGGACCAGCCTTCTGTGAGGACAGAGAACTGAGAAGCGCTGCTGGAGTGGGTGAAAATGCTGTGGGATGGAAGTCAAGCCATTGTGGCAGATGAACCTGCTGGATTTGTAAATAATTTAAAAATCCTTCTAGTTGATCTTTTACTCTTGGGTTTTGAGCTTATGATACAAAATGGGGAATATAAGAGTTTTTTTTTTTCTGTAAACTGTATTTTTTAAAAAAAAAAATTTGTGCAACGTGGCCAAAACTTAACCAATTTTATGCATTAACTTTGAAAAGTTGTATGATTTTAAGAAGGACCTGAAATGTAAGTGCTGTTTATTTTTCTTCTGGGGTTTACTGATCAGTGTGGTAATTTTAACTTCATTTAGTAATCACTCTAGGAGATTTTACCTTTACTTATATATTTTCATGACGTTTCATGATTTGCTGTTGGTTTCAAATGAAACTACAAATCTGGCATGTTTTACTGTGAACACTATTTTGTTTTTTTTTGTTTACCTTTTTTGTTTTTTTCTGTTTGAATGTCTTATGGAAAAAGAGAATCCTTTCCTGTCTCTGTCCCTGGGATAATTCCTTTCCCCATAATATCTTTTTTAAAAGTAACTGTTCCTATTAATCAAGGTGCTGACCAACTCAATACATTGTTAAGTATGAGATCTAAAGCTCTCAAAGTGTCCTTGCAGAGAAAATTCTGAAATTGTCAATGAATTTAATGATCTGGCCAAAGTTGAAAATTATATGCAAATTTTGTCTTATCCCTTATGAACATACAGTTTTTGTTGGATTTATTTTATATTAAGTTACATTAAATTGAGGCGAACCACCCTCACCCATGCACAATGTATGAATAGTGGACATCCTTGTGCAGAACATTGGAACTTGTGGGGAAAAATCTCCTAGTAGATGGGCAGTTCACATTGGGAGATCTAGGAACGGTTACAGCTTGAGGGTTCAGGTAGAAATATCTGTGTATGTGTGTACATGTGTGTACCAAGGGGCTTTGTAACAAGGCATCTTAAAACATAATAAAGTTTTCTCATTTGGAATATTTTAAACTGTATTTCAATCCCAGTTTCTAAAACTACCCATAAATTATGATGCTGATCTATATATTTTTAGTTTGAAAAATATCAGTGGAACTGATGGGTAACTTTCAAGTGAGAGTCTTGTATAAATATTGAAACACATGAAGATCTCATGACTTAGAACTAATTAGTCTTGAATTGAGCATATTGTCGAAAGAGATTTTTAAAGGGCAGTGCAATTGCTCCATGATAAAACTTTCCTTCTCTGCCTTCTGAGCACCGTCTTTTAATTTCCATATCTTCATGTCTTGAAGAAATTGATGTTAATTGAAGTTTTCACTTGTCTGGTTGAAATAAAGCCTGTTTCTGTTGTGATGTTTTTAGTGTATATGTTATTTTAATTTTATAATCTCATGTTCACATTATCTGCTTATGTACCATACATAAAAGAATATGTGTTGTAATTTTGCTACTCTACACTTCATAATCTGAGGTTTTCATGTAAATGTGGCAAGATCCAAATCACTGTGTCTTCAATTGAAGATGTAGCCTTCTGTGGGGATGAAAACAATAGCTTTATTGTTCTTAAACAATTAACTCCTTATTGCCAAAATATCACTACCATATTTGGTAATTCCAAAGAGTTTCAAAGTTTGGGCATCACAGCTGCATTTTATCCACTTCCCACCTGGCTTAAAAAAATTCAAACAATGGAGATAATCTTAAAAATGAGAAGTGTAGAAATCTACATTTTATCTATGTCAGTGCCTTCTTTAGATTTCTTCTACCATTCCTACTGCCATCTGTCAGGGAATAGCACACCTTGTAGCATGGTACTATAAAAGAAATCAGGGCAAGTTAGTGTGACTATGTAATTTTTTAATATTCTGGTATCACTTTAACTCTTATTACAGATGTCTAAGACATTGGTTTAACTGAGAAAATAAATCATTCCATTATGCAAATGTCAGTTAAATGTTGACTGCAGAGAACCAGCTTTTTTTTTTTTTTTAAAGATGTATTTATTTATGCATACAAGAACTGAGGCACAAGCCAGAGGTGAAGGGATGAGAGGATTCACCAGAGACAGAGTGGGAAACAGAACAGGCAGACTGACTGAAACACACTGCTGAGGGGAGCAGTGCGCAAGAAAGGAGAGGTCTGCTGCTCCATGTGGGTAGCTCCCTGGCTGGGGATCGAACTCGTGCTGCAGTGGCTGTGGATAGATTCAAAGTGCTGCATCTTAACCCCTTACACCACCAGGGAGGCCCTCAGCCTTTTTTTTTTTTTTTTTTAATAATAAGGAATTTGTAGTATGAGAACTTTCCTGTTCACTTGAATTATGGAAACTTTCCTTTGCTTCAATATCAAGAAACTTGGCAAGACTAAAGAATTTTTATCTTGAACTGTCATTTGGTTCCAGAGTGTGGCTTTTCATTCTGAACTTCAGTTTGAATCCAGCTCAGCCATTTACTAGCTATGCAGGCAAGTTGCTAAGCCTTAGTTTCCTTACTCATAAAATGGGGCAAATAGTAGGGTTTTTTTTTTTTTTAAAGATTTATTTATTTATTTATACAAGCACTGGGTACAGTCAGAAGCGCAGGAGGGTGAGAGAATTCACCAGAGCCAGAGCAGGGAGCAGAGCAGGCAGAAGGACCGAAGTACACTGCTGAGGGGAGCAGCGGGTGGCAGGAGAGGTCTGCGTGCCATGTGGGACCCTCCTCCGGTGGCCGGGGAGCAGCCAGGAATCAAACCAGCACTGCAGAAGCTGCTGGCAGCTTCGCAACCCAGCGCTCAACCGCCGCGCCACCTGGGAGGCCCTAGTAGGGGTTTTTTGACTTTAATATTTAAAGAACTTAATAAACACAAGGGCTGACACATGTAACTGCTTCATTTATGCTTAAAAAAAAAAAAAAAGATGTTTTAAACCAATGCATTATTCCTAGCCTAGCTTTCTGGAATGTGGGGAACTCATCTTAGAACAGACACACTTGACAGATCTCCCTATGCTAGTACATGTTCCCACAACCCCACATATTTTGTTGTAAAGCTAGTAGTGTATTGACTACAGGGTACTGCCCCTACACACTGTGGGGGTATTAAGTAATTAGTCATTTGGAATTTTAAATAATACCTGTTCCCTAAAGATTCAGATAAAGGGATCGTGGAAACATTGTATTATTTAGCTTATGTAATGTATAGATTCAGAGTCCTTTGTAGGTTCTGTTGTTCTGGGTAATTTATACTTGGTACCAGTCAGTCATACAAGGATAGCTAAGAAGTTACTTTGTGCCAGGAAAGAGCTGAGGAGAATAAGAGTAGGATACAAACCCTCCTGTCCAGTGGGGAAAGGCGAAGTCTCACACCAACATACGAAATAAGGTGTCACAGGAGTCAATCATTCATTCACAAATACAGAAGTGATCAAAACTTCAAGAGCTTGCATTATAGAAGGGAAGGCAGATACTTCACTAAATATGTAAGGTTAGATCAATCCTAAAAGGAGAAAGTAAGGTAGGATGAAGGACTAGATAGAGGGAGGTAGTTCTATCTAGAAAAAATGAAAAGGGGAGAAGCTGCTCTGGTTAGAGTGGTCAAAGATAATTGCTCTTAGGAGGTGATGTCAGAGGTTGAATTAAGTTGGGAATGCAGCATGTATATATATACCTGGAACAAAAGTTTTCACTCCTTATGGGTGGGAATGGGTGTCTTGAGGAACTGAAGGAGGCTAGGGTATCTGAGTAAACAATGTTGGGGTACACAGTTTTAGGAGCAGCTGTGGGCCAGGTCCTATGGGGGGGCGTCTAAGTGAAGGTACAGGGGTACACTTGAAGTAGAAATGGCTCACTTCTGGAGGAGCGTCCTAGAAAAGCTTTGATAGAGTTTAAACCAATGAGTGGAGACTCTCAAGTGGGCCAGAAGGAGAGGGGTCCCCAAGCAGAGGGAGCAGAGGGAGCAGGGGAAGCAGAAGCATGGAGAGAAGAAACAGCCTGGTTTCTTCAGGGAGTTGGAAGTTGTTTGCTTCCCCTGGAGCCTGGTTAGTGAGAGAGAAACCAGACACTGGGAGAGAGGAAACTAGCCAGGTTGTGGAAGGACTCCTATTCTATGCTAAAGATTTGGTCTATTTTGTAGTCAGTGTGGAGCCATCAACAGTTTCAAGTAAAGTGAAACTATTATTAATCTGGCTTCAAAGTGATAATAGACCAAATATCCTGTTGAGGAAAATGAGTAAACCAGTTACTGTGCTTCTGAAAATTGTTATGTTTATTTCCCCTGTCGTGCCAAACCTCATGCAGGAGCTGCTTAGTGGGCTGTTTTTCTCTGTATCTAAGATGGTTTCATGAATTCTTGAGTGTTTTCCCACAGGGTAAAAACTAATAACTGCAACTACAATGATTCTATTCAACAAATAAGAATATTTTACCACCAGTGATCACCATAAACTCCATGATTTGTAAGAATTCTTTGTAGAGGACTTTTCCTTCCAGGGATTAGATGATGCCAAATTTGTGAGGGAGGTTTATTTATTCATAATTTCTTTTAGGTCTACCAGATGATCATTCACTCTATTTAATTTTGACCAAATTTGACACATGTGTTTGACACACAACACTTTTTGAATCTATGATATTGACACTGCACTTTTTTCTTCCAAGCCATAAGCACCTATTTCCACAGTGAACTTAATTATTGATTTCATTTTCTAAAAGGTATGTATTGAAGCCATGATGTCACCATTAATGTAGTCTTTTAAAGTCAACATTTCAAAGGTTACTTTACAAGAATTCATCACTTGCAATACAAAAAGAAAATTGGATTATAAGTCTTTGCTTCTTACTATATTCACTTTATCTTGTAAATACTAAACCTCCCAAACTAGAATTGATTGAGGACATTAATTTTAGTTAATGTCCCTAAACAATTCTCAACCAGTCTGCTGTGAGAATTCATCTTTTTAAACTTTAAGCATCTAAAAATATCATTTCAACATGTTTTACATGCACATAATTTAAAAAGTCAAATGACTCCATAACACTATACAAAATAGAAGCACCCATTTTTTTTTCTTTTTTTCACCACTTTGAGATTGCAGCTTTCTGCTAAAGGTAAGGTAATAGGGAAATTTTTTTGAGCACTGGCATGTCTAAAAATTTGAAAAAAATTTAATTCTATCCTCATGCCCAGTTGATAGTTTGACATGATAAAGATTTTAGATTAGATGATCTGTTTCTTGAGAATTCTGAAAATACAGCCAACCTTTAGTGTTGCTCTGAGAAAGTCTCATGCCATTCAGACTCATTATCTTTCTATGTCATTATTCCTCTCTCTTTAGTGGAAGTTTTTACAAACTTTTCAATTTCAGTTTCAGCTCCAACAGTTTTCAGCCTTGGACTTCATCACTCCCATCTCTACAAAGAGGAAAAAAAATCACTAACAAATTAAGAATACCTTTGATAGTATCATCAGATAACCAAACGTCTAAGGGAAGAATCAGTTAGCTTGACGATAAGTCAATAAAATCTTCTTAAACTGAAATTCAATGAGAAAAAGAATGACAAAGATAAAACAGAGTACCCAAGAACTGTGGGACAGTTTCAAAAAGTATAATACATACATAGTTAGAATATCAGTAGAAGAGAGAATGGAGCAAAAAAATATTTGAACTAATAATGGCTGAGAATTTTCCAAAATTAATGACAGATACCAAACCACAGAGCCATGAAGTTGGAGAACCCAAGTAGAATAACAAAAAACTCACACTGAGGCCTATCATATTCAAAATGCAGAAAATTAAAGACAAAATTTTTTTTGATTTTTTTTGATATTTATTTATTTATGCATACAAGAGCTGGGGTACAGGCCAGAGGTGTGTGTGGAGTGGGGTGAGATAATTCACCAGAGACAGAATGGGGAACAGAACAGGCAGATGGACTGAAATACACTGCTGAGGGGACCAGCGGGTGAGATAGGAGAGGTCCGGTGCGCGATGTGGGTAGCTCCCTGGCTGGGGATCGAACTCGTGCAGTAGTGGCTATGGGTAGCTTCATAGGTTGTGTCTTAACCCCTTGCACCACCAGGGAGGCCCTGAAATTTTTTTTTTAAATTGAGATAGCATTGGTTTACAACGTACTATATATTGCAAAGATACAGGATCACACCTTTTCAGACATTTGTTACCACACCATACCCAGCACCAGGGCACCCAATAGCCAGGGTTGGGGAAGCAGTTTACATATCAGGGATAAATGATAATAATTACATTATTTTTCAGAGACCATACCAATGAGAAGAAGATAGGTTAAAGATATACAAAGTTGACAGAAACTTCTCTAATTCATCAGTATTTACCTCAATGTTAGAAGGTGGAGCTTTCC